GTGTGCGAGGGGCTTGGACTTCCAGCAGGCATGCGTGAGCGTGTTTGATAGGAGTGAATGGAGACAAATGGTTTTTAATACTTGACGTGCTGTTGGAGTGTGAGCAAAGTAACATTTATGAAGGGATTCAGGGAAACCGGCAGGCCGGACTTGAGTCCTGGAGATGGGAAGTACAGTGCCTGCACTCTGAAGGAGGGGTGTTAATGTTGCAGTTTAAAAACTGTAGTGTAAAGCACCCTTCTGGCAAGACAGTGATGGAGTGAATGATGGTGAAAGTTTTTCTTTTTCGGGCCACCCTGCCTTGGTGGGAATCGGCCAGTGTGAGAATAAAAAAATATAATAAAATAATATCTCCATTCAAAGCAGGTGAAATTGCAGATCTAGAGAGTGTACAGAGATCCGTTACTGTACATATAAGGTCTGTCAAACACCTCAACTACTGGTAACCTTGGAAGCACTTGACTTGTACTTGCTGGAACGCAAGCGACAGAGATTTATCATAATGTACACTTTAAAAATCCTAGATGGAATGGTCCCAGGTATTCTGGGGGTATTGCTCCCCAGAATATCCTCCAGGTAGACTCCAGGTAGATCTCTATGCTCCACCTGTGTCCTTGTAATATTATATTAATAATGATTATATTTTGAATTTGCAAATGTGATTAAACCATTATTATCACAAAATTGAGGTGTTTTGTTACTGAAGTATAGTACGTGACTCAGATGTTAGGTGTCTACTAGTACACTGTTACAACAGTGTGACTCAGATGTTAGGTGTTTACTAGTACACTGTTACAACAGTGTGACTCAGATGTTAGGTGTTTACTAGTACAGTGGACCCCCGCATACCGTTGGCCTTACATAACGTTAAATCCGCATACCGCTACATTTTATCGCCAAGATTTTGCCTCGCATACCGCTAAAAAACCCGCTCAACGCTGTTCGTCTGAGACGCGTTTATGTGTGGCCTGAGCCACGCTCACATGTTCCGCCGGTGGCATTGTTTACCAGCCAGCCTCTGCAGTAACATCCAAGCATACAGTCAGAACATTTCGTATTATTACAGTGTTTTTGGTGATTTTATCTGCAAAATAAGTGACCATGGGCCCCAAGAAAGCTTCTAGTGCCAACCCTACAGCAATAAGGGTGAGAATTACTATAGAGATGAAGAAAAAGATCATTGATAAGTATGAAAGTGGAGTGCGTGTCTCCGAGCTGGCCAGGTTGTATAATAAACCCCAATCAACCATCGCTACTATTGGTGGTACAGCTGCTGCTGCTGTTGTACCACCATCAGCTGCTGCTGCACTGTCAGCTGCTGCTGCTGCTGTAGCACCGTCAGCTGCTGCTGCTGCTGTACCACCGTCAGCTGCTGCTGCTGCTGTAGTACCTTCTGCTGCTGCTGTAGCATCGTCTGCTGCTGCTGTAGCATCGTCTGCTGCTGCTGTAGCACTGTCAGCTGCTGCTGCTGTTGTACCACCGTCAGCTGCTGCTGCTGCTGTAGTACCGTCTGCTGCTGCTGTAGCATCGTCTGCTGCTGCTGTAGCATCGTCTGCTGCTGCTGTAGCACTGTCAGCTGCTGCTGCTGTTGTACCACCGTCAGCTGCTGCTGCTGCTGCTGTAGTACCGTCTGCTGCTGCTGTAGTACCGTCTGCTGCTGCTGTAGCATCGTCTGCTGCTGCTGTAGCACTGTCAGCTGCTGCTGCTGTTGTACCACCGTCAGCTGCTGCTGCTGCTGCTGTAGTACCGTCTGCTGCTGCTGTAGTACCGTCTGCTGCTGCTGTAGCATCGTCTGCTGCTGCTGTAGCACTGTCAGCTGCTGCTGCTGCTGCTGTAGCACTGTCAGCTGCTGCTGCTGCTGCTGTAGCACCGTTGTTGGTGTGGCTTATTGAGAATACCAAGAAACAATTAACCCCAGAGGATTTGCCACCAGAATAACCCAAAAAAGTCAGTGTCATCGAAGACTGTCTAACTTATTTCCATATGGGTCCTTAATCTTGCCCTCCCAGGATGCAACCCACACCAGTCGACTAACACCCAGGTGAACAGGGAAAAATGCCTGGAACTAGTGCTCATATTGGTGAATTTAGAGCCAGCAAAGGTTGGTTTGAGAGATTTAAGAATCGTAGTGACATACACAGTGTGATAAGGCCTGTTCTGGAAGAAAATGCCAAACAGGACCTACAGTACTCAGGAGGAAAAGGCACTCCCAGGACACAGTGTCTCATCAGTCATTGTTGCATCTTCAATAAAGGTAAGTGTCATTTATTCTTCATTTAGTAGAGTAGTACATGCACAATATATATTGTGCATGTACTACTCTACTATTGTGCATGTATCCTTCTCTTTGTGTGTAGGAAAATGTATATTTCATGTGGTAAAAAATTTTTTTCATACTTTTGGGTGTCTTACACGGATTAATTTGATTTCCATTATTTCTTATGGGGAAAATTCATTCGCATAACAATAATTTCGCATAACAATGAGCTCTCTTGCACGGATTAATATCGCTATGCGGGGGTCCACTGTACACTGTTACAACAGTGTGACTCAGATGTTAGGTGTTTACTAGTACACTGTTACAACAGTGTGACTCAGATGTTAGGTGTTTACTAGTACACTGTTACAACAGTGTGACTCAGATGTTAGGTGTTTACTAGTGCACTGTTACAACAGTGTGACTCAGATGTTATGTGTTTACTAGTACACTGTTACAACAGTGTGACTCAGATGTTAGGTGTCTACTAGTACACTGTTACAACAGTGTGACTCAGATGTTATGTGTTTACTAGTACACTGTTACAACAGTGTGACTCAGATGTTAGGTGTCTACTAGTGCACTGTTACAACAGTGGGATTCAGATGTTAGGTGTCTACTAGTGCACTGTTACAACAGTGGGACTCAGATGTTAGGTGTCTACTAGTGCACTGTTACAACAGTGGGACTCAGATGTTAGGTGTCTACTAGTGCACTGTTGCAACAGTGGGACTCAGATGTTAGGTGTCTACTAGTGCACTGTTACAACAGTGGGACTCAGATGTTAGGTGTCTACTAGTGCACTGTTACAACAGTGGGACTCAGATGTTATGTGTCTACTAGTGCACTGTTACAACAGTGGGACTCAGATGTTAGGTGTCTACTAGTGCACTGTTACAACAGTGGGACTCAGATGTTATGTGTCTACTAGTGCACTGTTACAACAGTGGGACTCAGATGTTATGTGTCTACTAGTGCACTGTTACAACAGTGGGACTCAGATGTTATGTGTCTACTAGTGCACTGTTACAAAATGTTGAGAGATAAGTATTATTCAGTAAAGACCTCTTATACATCTTGATAATGCAGCAGACATATGTTGTTGTGTTCAGTCACATTGTTACACAAGTAAGTCTCTCATAAGAGACAAACTTATAACAAGGTTTGGGTCCCACGTGTTCCAGTCAAAGTATTGTGCATTTTATTCTTCACATTATTTCTAATATCCCACAATATCATGATAACTTTCATTATGTGTCTGAATGTCATTCATTACTGTAGTTGATTCTAAGTTCTTAGTTTCCATAAACCAGCAGGCAGACAGGCAGGGCAAAGCAGGGCAGTGCAGGACAGGTAGGCAGGGCAAGGCAGGGCAAGGCAGGGCAAAGCAGGGCAAAGCAGGGCAAAGCAGGGCAAAGCAGGGCAAGGGAGGGCAAAGCAGGGCAGAGCAGGGCAGAGCAGGACAGGTAGGCAGGGCAGGGCAGGGCAGGGCAGAGCATGGCAGGGCAGAGCAGGACAGGTAGGCAGGGCAGGGCAGAGCAGGGCAGGGCAGGGCAGGACAGGACAGGACAGGGCAGGGCAGGGCAGGACAGGGCAGGGCAGGCAGGGCAAGGCAGGGGAGGGCAGGGCAGGGCAGGGCAGGTGGGGCAGGGCAGGTGGGGCAGGGCAGGTGGGGCAGGGCAGGGCAGGCAGGCAGGCAAGTGGGTATTTTATATTAGAGAGAGAGAGTGGAGACAAGTGGTATTGGGAATGTGTTGCAGTGGGAGGAAGGTAACATTTATTAATGGATTGAGGGGAACTACTTGCTTAAACTTAATTTCTGGAGGTGAGAATTACAGTATCTGCAGCCTGAAGGATGGGTGGGTAAGTTACAAGGCCTCCTATTAGCTAATGATAAATAAGACAGTTAGGTGTCTTTACTCTGAAACATTTTGCCTACACAGTAGACTTCTTCAGGTAAAAAAGGGGATTATATGAGAGTATAGTAGTACCAACACTCTTATATGGTTGTGAAGCATGGGTTGTTAATGTTGTAATGAGGAGGAGGCTGGAAGCATTGGAGATGTAGTGTCTGAGGGCAGTGTGTGGTGTGAATATTATTCAAAGAGTTTGTAGCTTGGAGATTAGAAGGTATGGGGTTACTAAAAGAATTATTCAGAGTGTTGAGGAGGGGCTGTTGAGGTAGTTTTGAACATATAGGGAGGATGGAGCAAAATAGGATGACTTGGAGGGTGTCTAAATCTGTTGTGGGGGAAAGGCAGGGTAAGGGTCACCCTAGGAAAGGATGGAGGGAGGGGGTAAAAGAGGTTTTGTGTGCAGGGGCTTGAGCATCCAGCAGACATGTGAGCATTTTAGATAGGAGTGAGTGGAGGCAAGTGGTTTTTATGACTTGACATACTGTTGGTGAGTGAGGAAGGTAACATTTATGAAGGGATTCTGGGAAACCGGCAGGTCAGACTTGAGTCCTGGAGAAGGGAAGTACAGTGCCTGCACACTGTAGGAGGGGGTGGAGATATGTTGCAGTTTGGAGGGGTATTTCAACTGTAATATTGGTACACCTATGGAAAGACTGTGATAGTGAACGATGGGGAGTGTTTCTTCATTTTTTAGGTCACATTACCTTGGTGGGAGACAACCGATGTGTAAAAAAAAAATTACTCTGTAAATATGCTAGTTTTTTAGAACTTGCTTTGTAATTTAATAGTTTCTTCAGATTTATTTCTCTTTCTTTGGTTTTCCTCAGACCTCATCAATGTACATGGCAGTATCTTATCTGAGAATATAAAAAGAAATGTTGTTAGATTGGCAGAAGCTTTTGCAAACAAGCAGCAGCAAGGAATCTATGGGCAGGATGTTATTGAAGCCATCTTCTATCTTAATAGTGAACTTAGTAAGGTAAGTAGTTTAACGGTTTGCTTGTAAGTTTTTAGTTTAACATTTTTTATTCCCTTACATATTTAAACAGTGACTTAAGCAAGCTTTTTCTCATTGACTTCAAACATACAACTTATATTCATAAAGGGACTCTTTTGTAATTTGTCAATATATCTTGTACTTCTCCCCAACAAGTGAATGCTAGGGGCATTGGGGAGAGGTGTGGGATAAAAATATATAGGATCTAACACAAAGTGGGATTTGTTATAGTTACTTTTTGCTGATGACACTGTGCTTTTGGGAGACTGACGATATGTTGCAAAGGTTGGTGGATGAATTTGGTAGGTTATGTAAAAGAAGGAAATGAAAAGCGAACATAGGAAAGAACAAGATAATGAGGGTAACAAAAAATTACGAAGGAGTTAATGTGATGTTAATGTTAATGTGATGTTAATGTTAAGGGTGATGGACTGATTACATCGTCTTCAAGTCTCTTCTGCTTCTATCAACTTTTCTGTACTCGACTGAAGAAGCCTACTGTGTAGGCGAAACGTTTCGTAATAAAGATAGCTAATTGTTGCATATGTGTCTTACCTAACAAGGATTTAATGTGTTGAGATAATTAGAATTATGAAAGACATGGTGAACCATAGAGTTGTTAAGTAAAAGGACACAAATGCAACTAATGTGACGTTTTATTGTGGCAACATTTCGCTCTCCAGGAGCTTTATCAAGCCATTACAAACAATACACGGACACAGAGGGTATGTACAGGCTTAGAGTGCGGTATAATATTAGTGGTAGTAATAGTAGTAGTAGTGAAGATTGAAACACTTATGCAATATATGGGAATCCTTATGGAAGAAATGCCTTGCCTCACAGTGGCCTCATCAGCCCAATACAAAGCAGAAAGGTGTAAGGAGAGGAGGAGCTTGAGGTAATCAGTCACTCAGCTTGGAGTTGATGTGTTCAGTCCATCAATCTTGTAGAAAGCAGAGTACAGGGCTATAGAAATGGCTTATGTACTGTAGCCAGGCGAGTCGAAGCAGGAGGAGGCGGGGTCATAGTGGAACCATCCACTTCTAGACTGTAATCAGTTTTCAATATCTGTTCCTTGAACTGTTAGGAAAGTTGTATCTGGCAGCTTATATACAACCACAATGACTAGGCTTTGGTTCTCAATCTTTACTGCTAAAATTTCAGCTGCATCTTTTGTAGTACAGTGGTTCCTCAATAATCGTCCGGCCTGAAAGTCGTCCATTTTGGAAATAGTCGTGTTATTTCGTCTAAACATTGGCTCGCAAATGGTCTGTTAACTCGCTAATCGTCTTTTGTCCTGGACATGTACTCACGGCTCTGAGAGTGTCGGCCTCCCTTCCCAGCCAATGTGTGTTTGTTTACCAGTGAGCAACGGTCCCCTCACTTGTTCATATGAAATATTTCATAATATTCCATTCATTTTAGTGCTTGCAATGCTAAATAAGCTACCATAGCTCCAAAGAAAGCTCCTAGTGCCAAGTCTTTGGTAAAGAAGGTGAGAAATACAATTGAATTTAGGAAAAACATCATTGAACAATATGAAAGTGGCGTACGTGTGGGCGAACTCGCCAGGGTGTATAACAAATCCCGTACAACCATATCTTCCATCATAGCCAAGAAAAAGGAAATCAAGGAAGCTGTTGTTGCAAAGGGGGTAAATATGCTGACAAAAATGAGATCACCAGTACTCAAAGATGTTGAGAAGTTATTATTGGTGTGGATAAACAAGAAACAATTAGCAGGAGATACTCTTATGACGTCGATTATTTGTGAAAAGGCTAGGCAGTTGCATGACGATTTGGTAAAGAAATTGCCTGCAACTAGTGGTGATGTGAGTGAATTTAAGGCCAGCAAAGGCTGGTTTGAGAGATTTAAGAAGCATACTGGCATACACTGTGAAAAGACATGGTGAGGCTGCCAGTTTGGACCAAAAAGCGGCTGAAAAATATGTGCAGGAATTCAGGGAGTACATAGAGGCTGAAGGACTGAAACCTGAACATGTGTTCAATTGTGACGAAACAGGCCTCTTTTGGAAGAAAATGCCAAAGAGGACCTACATTACTCAGGAAGAAAAGGCACTGCCAGGACACAAGCCTATGAAAGACAGGCTGACACTAATGTTCTGTGCTAATGCTAGTGGGGATTTCAAAGTGAAGCTGTTACTAGAGTACCATTCTGAAAATCCCAGAGTGTTCAAGAAAAACAATGTTATGAAGAGTAAATTGTGTGTGTTTTGGAGATCTAATAGTAAGGCATGGGTCATAAGGGACATTTTCGTCGAGTGGTTCAATGAAGTGTTTGGCCCTAGTGTGAAGAATTACCTCCTGGAAAAGAAATTGGATCTCAAGTGCCTCCTAGTAATGGACAATGCACCTGCTCATCCTCCAAACTTGGATGACCTCATTCTGAAGGAGTTTGGGTTCATCACAGTAAAGTTCTTGCCCCTGAATACCACACCTCTCCTCCAGCCCAAGGACCAGCAGGTCATTTCAAACTTTAAAAAACTCTACACCAAAGCAATGTTTGAAAGGTGTTTTAATGTGACCTCAGACACTCACTTGACCCTAAGAGATTTTTGGAAAGAACACTTCAGTATTCTCCATTGCATAAGCTTTATAGGTAAGGCTTGGGAGGGAGTGACTACCAGGACTTTGAACTCTGCTTGGAAAAACTCGTGGCCAGATTGTGTCCACAGGAGGGATTTTGAAGAGTTTGAGGTGGCCCCTGATGAGCCTATGTCAGTTGTGAACTCTATTGTAGCATTGGGGAGTTCCATGGGGTTGGATGTGAGCTTGGAGGATGTGGAAGAGTTGGTGGAGGACCACAATGAAGAGCTAACCACTGAGGAGCTGCAAGAGCTTCAGCAGGAAGAGCAACAGATCGCAGCTCAGAATCTTGCTGCAGAGGAGGAGGAAGAGAGATGGAAGAAGGTGCCTTCAGAAATTAAGGAGATTTTTGAAATGTGGGGTAGGATGGAAAGATTTGTGGAGAAACATCACCCTGAGAAGTATGTTGCAAGCCATATCGGCAACTTGTACAGTGACAGAGTCTCGGCCCATTTTAGGGAAGTTTTAAAGAGACGCCAGAAACAGAGCTCTCTGGACAGTTTTTTTGCGAGACAGGACTCCAGTGACTCTCAAGCTGGTCCTAGTGGCATTAAGAAACAGAGAAGAGAAGTAACCCCTGAAAAGCACTTGGTACCTGAGGTGTTGATGGAAGGGGATTCCCCTTCCAAACAGTAATTCAATCTCTCTCCTCCTCCAGTCTTCCATACACTAAGAAGAATTGCCAATAAAGGTAAGTGTTATGCTGTTAATGTTTCATTCATCATTTCCCATTGTATTGTTTATGTACTACATCTATATTTCATGTAAAAAAATTTTTTGTTTTAATACTTCTGGGTGTCAGGAACGGATTAATTGTATTTATATTATTTCTTATGGGGAAAATTGATTCGAAAATTGTCTATTTCAATAATAGTCCCACTCCCAGGAACGGATTAAGGACAATAATTGAGGGACCACTGCATTTAGTAATTCTGTGCTAATGAGTGACTCTGTGACAAACATGCCAACTCCCCTTCCTTGTGGCCTGTTCTTTCTGTTGCATCTGAATAAGTTGTTCCCTGATGTCCATATTTTGTTGTTAATTAAAGGGATCTTTTATGTGGGTCTCTGTAAATGCTGCAAACATCCTGTTTGACTTCATGGGGGGTCCACTGATAAAAGGTATTTTGTTGTTGTTGGATGGTTAAGGCTCCTATTTATTTACAATGTAAATACAATTGATAAGAATAAGAGCTTTATTTCAGCATGATGCACATTTATACAAAGGAGTATAATTGAGTGTATATGTCAAATGCCCCTCTATATGCAGAGCATTTCAGGCAAACTTGCAGCTAACTTAAGTGCAGTAAATTTGTACATATGGTTATTAGATGAGTTTACAATGAATACAAGATAATTGAATATTTTATTAGTTCATGCTATATGGCTTTAATAGGTTTGGTAAAGAGAAATTACAGTTTTGATTATTAACCTGCTGCTGTTTTGGGGGATTTTTTTTTGTTGTTGTTGTTGTGATTCTGGAGTGGAGGCCGTTAACTGCCGCAGGTCCAACAAGGCTCTGAGGTGGTGGAATATTTTTGTAATTCCTTACCATTTTTTTGGCTTTCTGGCACTAAAAAAATCTCTTGCTATTGAATGGTTGTAGCTATGGTTAGTTTCCAAGGTTTGTTGGATCTGTACCTCTTGTTCTCTTTCAAATGGTATGTAGGACAGTTTGTTGTCATTCACGTTTGAATATCCAGTAAAATAAAATTAAAACTGTCTTGCATTTTTCACGTTCAAAACGCGGATGCCATCCTGTGTATCGTCAGCATAACAGTGACATCCAACAGTAAGGCTGAACCACTAACATGAACAGTAAACAATACCAGCCTAAGAACTGAGCCCCATGGAACACTATACTGATAAGACTGACCAGAACAATGTGATTTTAGATGCAACAATGCAGTATCCCTGAGGCCACTGCTGAAAACATCACCAATCAGAAATCCATGATCATTGGTGTCAAATGCAGCAGAAGTCCAACAAATTAGCAGTAATGCATTTCCTAAGCTGGTGTTCAGAACCAAATCATTATACATGTATACTTTACTTTTCTGAGAATGATTTCATCTGTTCAAGTGGGTGAAGGACCAACCCCAGTTACCTTAGTTAACATTTCTTTTGGTTCCAAGACCACAAAACCAGTATCAGGAACAATACACAAATAACCCACATGTAGAAGAGAGGAGCTTATGACGACATTTTGGTCTGGCTGGGACCATTTACAAAGTCACATAACAGAAAAGAGAGGAGCCAATATATATAGGCCAGCTGGCAAGAACGGGACAAGAGAGTGGGAGGAATAGTAGCAGTAGAGGTAAGGCAGGTAGTGGAAGTAGTGGTAGTGTAAAGTAGAGTGGTTGATGGGACAAG